CCCCCCCCCCCCTCCCCCCAGACCCCAAGATCCTGCTGCTCAACATTGAGCTGGAGCTCAAGAGTGAGAAGGAGAACGCAGAAATCAGACTGGAGGACCCAGCGCAGTACCAGGTGTGCTTGCGCGCGCGTGCACTTGTGGGAGTGTGTGTGTTGGGGTTGGGGGTGCGGAGGGCGCAAGTCAAGCAGAGCTGCGCAGAGAGCGCCAGGCGTCACGGGCGGCCGTGGTCATTGTCCCACACCTGGCCCCAGGCCTGCTGCAGGCCTGAGGAAGCCTTCCTCCTGCAGATCTCAACCATTTTCAGGGCAGTTGTTGTCATAACAACGCCCCCCTTCCCTCAAACCAGTTTACTCTCACATGAATACACTTGCGCGGCGCTGCGCTCATGCCGGCATGTACTCGAGCCCACCCACCTGCGAAATTGTCACCTCGCAGAGACCCCCCCACACCTCACTCAACCACCCTCATCCCCCTCGCAACATTGCATTGCAGTCCATCGTTGACGCGGAGTGGAACATCATCTACGACAAGCTGGCCAAGTGCGTCGACAGCGGCGCGCAGGTGAGGGCCCGGGAATGTGCGCCTTTGGCCTCTTGGCAGCCGTGTGATCCGGGGCAATATGACGTGATGCGGCGCCGCCAGCAAGGCAGCGGATCGTGCAAGGGCTTTTTGCGGGGCCACAGCTCTTGCATGCTGTGGCGGCAGGGCAGCCTCGTCCGGCGGAGCCTGCTGCAAGGGCCCATGGGCTTGTTGGCGCTTGGGCTGGCCCGGCGCTGATGGTCAGCAGGGCAGGTCAGTGATCTGGGCCTGAGATTATCATGAGTGACGAGGGTGGAGCAACCAACACTCTTCACTGGAGATTCGCGTGTCGCTGTTTGCTGTCACCCTCCACCACACACGTGCCATTCTAAGCACACTCGTTGTCACCCCGATGCAATCCATGGCACCCTCTCCTCCCCTGCACACACACGCGCAACAATCAGGTTGTGCTGTCGCGCCTGGCCATCGGTGACCTGGCGACTCAGTACTTTGCCGACAGGGGGGTCTTCTGCGCGGGCCGCGTGGCGGAGGAGGACCTGCAGCGGGTGGCAAAGGCCACAGGTGAGGATGCAGGGCTGAATGCCTCGACCGCTGTCTGGACTGCAGCGGGCTGCCTGGTGTGCAGCTAGCTGGCTTGAATGCAAAGTGCTGCCACGGGGCGCTGGGGTGCCGCGCCTGGCACGCCAAAAGGGGCCGCCTGTATCGTCGCCATATGCGGAGCTGCGCTTTGACAAGGTCGCTGCAACCTCACACCATCTGTTGGCTCGGCTACAACCCTCTTCTGAGAAGAGCGAACCAGCTCTTGCTGCCCCCAACCACGCACGGCCCCAAACTGCCCCTCCCCAGGGGCGCGTGTGCAGACGACTGTGAACAACCTGGACACCGCTGTGCTGGGGACCTGCGCAGCGTTCGAGGAGCGGCAGGTGCGGTTGATGAGTAATGCAGTCTAGGCAGCGGATCAACAACAAGGGCACGGGCGCCCCTTGAACATCGCTCCTCGCTTGCTCGTATTGATGCCTCGACTGCCTGTCTTTGAGACGCACCGGCCTTCCGCCTGCAGTTGGTGCAGCTTTCTTTCCCGGCCACCTCGTATCATCACAGCACCACCTGGCCGCCAGTTCATGCCACCCCATCTCCACACTCTCAAACTTAACACGATTCGTTCCACCCCCCCCCCCCCCAGGTGGGTGGTGAGCGCTACAACCTGTTCACGGGCTGCCCCCAGGCGCGCACGGCCACCATCGTGCTGCGCGGCGGCAGCGAGCAGTTTATCGACGAGGCGGAGCGCAGCCTGCACGACGCAATCATGATCGTCAGGTGGGGGCAGAGCGCACCCCACGCGAGTTCTGATCGTGTGTGTATGCGCACATCCGTGCGCGCGTGTGTGTGTGTGTGTGTGTGTGTGTGTGTGTGTGTGTGTTGACTGACTCTGCAGCTACAGAGTGAGGTTTTGTCCAAGACTTCAACAGGACGCAATGCAACGCCTCAAAAAGCACGCCAGGTGGTTAAAAACAGAGTTTACGCATGCCTTACCTGCAAGCCTAGGCCCCCGGCAAAGGCACGCCCCAACGCAGACAATCACTTCCCTCTCCAATGCCGCGTTTCTGACGCCCATCCTTATCTGCCCCCACTAACCTTTCTGCCCCCTATCCCCCATCTTCCGCACCCAGGCGCGCGCTAAAGCACGCCCACGTGGTGCCAGGGGGTGGCGCCATCGACATGGAGGTCTCGCGGTGAGGGGGGCTGATAGTTGTGGATGGGGTTGATCCCATTCTGAACAGGGGGATTGTCGGGGCTGGATTACGCGAGACCAGGAAATCGTCCTCTCCAAAGCCCAGGGTCCAGGCAGGGGTCGGGTCGGGCCTGGCGGGGGCGCTGATTGTCTGAAGGCTGCTGCGGCCCGGTCTGCGGCCCCGCTCGGTGTGTGCGCTGATGTACCGCCTGGCCCAGGTGGGCCCGTTGCCCCACCCAGCTCCCACACAAAAGAGCGAGCCCACCGCACACCGAGCCCCTAGGACGCCCTGGCGCCCTCTTGGAGTCACATCACCCACCTTCACCACTGCCGCAGCTCCCTCCACCGCGGCCCCTCCCCCCACCAACCATCGCCGCTCCCTCCCCTTCCGCCCCACCTTACCACTCGTGCCCCAGGGCGCTGCGCGACCACGCGCGCACCATCCCGGGCAAGGCGCAGCTCTTCATGGCGTCCTACGCAAAGGCCCTTGAGTCCATCCCGCGGCAGCTCTGCGACAACTCGGTGCGCCGCGCAGCATCGCGCGCACGGGCGTGCCTGTCTGTGTGTGTGTGTGTGTGTGTGTGTGTGTGTGCGCGCGCGCGTGCGTTTGAGCGTGTTCTTGCGCGTACACGTGCAGCTTGTGCGTGTAAGCTGTGAATGCATGCGCATGTGCTTCGTTTGCGTGTATGCGTGCATTGCTTCCATCTGAAGCGCCTTTCTTGAACAGTTTGGCTGAAAGTCTCGTCAACAAAGCCGGGGCCCTCGTCGCCGACTCCGCGTTTCCAACAAGCGGCCACTCAATCAACCGAGCCCTGTGCTCACAAACTCAAAATCACCCAATCCTCTCGTCTCCAGGGCCTGGATGCCACTGACGTGCTCAACAAGCTGCGGCAGAAGCACGCACTGCAGGACGGCAGCGGCAAGGTGCGCGCCAGTAGTGTCAGCAGCGGCGGCAAGTTCCGCCTTTACTGACTACCGCCCCTCCGCTTGGCTGCTGGTCCTGCCTGGCGCCTGCCTGCCATCCGGCCGCCCTGACCCCACTATACGTATGCATGGACGGAGGGTGTCCCTGGCGAGACTAACCCCTGGCGTCGGCACGTGGGCCGCGGCACCTGTCACCTGCGGCTGCTCATTCCCCTCGCCCTTGCGGTTCCTGCCCCAATATACAATCTGAAACAGAACTTTGGCGTGGACGTCAACAATGGCGGCGTCTGCAACACGTTTGAGTCGTTTGTGTGGGAGCCCGCGCTGGTCAAGATCAACGCCATCCAGTCAGCCACCGAGGCGGCCTGCCTCATCCTGTCGGTGGACGAGACCGTGCGGAACCCGGCCAGCGAGGCGCCAGACGCCGCGGCGATGGGCGCGGGCCGCGGGGGCATGGGCGGGCGCGGGGGCGGCGGCCGGGGTCGGGGCCGTGGAATGCGGCGGTGACGCGGCATGTGAGGCGTCTGTTGGCGCGCCTGGCGGCAGCAACGGCAGCACGAGGAGTTTGCACCCATTGTGTGATATCTGGCAGGCACGTACGTAGAGCGCTGCGCTTGTTGCTGCACACTGTTTCTTTTTTCTCCTCCGACTTGAGCCCTCGTAGCTTGAGTAACCTCACGTGCGATTCTATCAGGTCTTATCGTGCATTTACAGTGGTGCAAGTTTATGCAGCAGTTTGGGGCGCTGCACCTTAGCTGGTGGTTGCCAGAGGAGGGGCCCCTGCAGGCCTGGTGTTGTGGGGGGCTGGCCGCAGCTTCCAGGCAGGTCTCTGCGCGAGCAGCATGGTGTGCAGCGCCCAGCATATGCGCTGCAGGCGCAGGTGCGGTCTTTCGTGCAGTCGTCCCACACATCGGCCTGCCTGCACCTGTTGCACTTCTCACACTCTTACACCTGCACACCTGTTCCGTTGCGACACATGCAGATGCTCTCACAAATGCAAATACCCTCTTCATAAGTGATCGCATTATTTGATGTCAGCAAACCACAATACATAGCGTGGGAGAAGCAGTCACAGGCTATACTTCCAAGGCAGGCTGCAAGTGACCATTTGGACGCACCTACACCACAAATCACAAGGAAATCCACCAACAGAAACATTGGCCGGGCGCCGCGGTGCACCTCCACGTGGACGCTCTGCAATGATGACGCTGCTCACTGCCTGCGGGCCGCGTTGCGCGTCGCCGCCGCCGCCGCTACCGGCGCGATGGGTGCAGTGTCCTTGGGCGGCGAGGCCACATCAGACCCCGACTCCTCGAAGGCGCCGGCTGCGCCGCTGGTGCTCGCGACGCGGCTGCGGATGCCGGCTGCCAGCCCCGTGGCGGCCCCCACATTCCCGCCCAGCGCTGCCGCAGCCGCGCTCGCCTGGCTGTGCGCGGGGACGACTGCCGTGGCGGGGCCTGGCGCGACGGCCGCAGCGGGCGGCGTCTTGTGCGCCCTGCCGCGCGCCACGAGCCTCTCACCAGCCTTCGCGTCGACGCCGCCTTGCTGCTCCGCGCCTGCTGCGCCTGCCTGGCTGCGCACGGGGGCGACTGCAGCGGCGGGACCTGGCGCGGCGGCCGCCGCAGCTGGCGGCGTTTTTTGAGCCCTGGCACGCGTCATCAGCCGCTCACCACTCATTGGCTCCACGCCACCCTGTCGCGCCGCGCCTGCTACGCCCGCCTGGCTGGTGGCAGGCCCCTCGAGCCCGCCGCGTGCGGCGAGCGGGAGCTGCTGCTGCTGCTGCTGCTGCTGCTGCTGCTGCTGCTGCTGCTGCTGCTGCTGCGTCCCCAGCGGCCGGGCGTCCTCATCAGGTTCGGCGCTCCTGGGGGCATCCAGGGCGGCATCCGCAGCGCAGCGGCGTGCCACCTCAGCGTCCCACTCCGCATACACCTTGGCCACAGCGGCCGCCGCCGCCGCCTCCGCCTCGGCCTCTGCGGCCGCCGCCGCCGCCGCTATCAGCACCTCGTCATCAACCTCGGCTGCGTGTGCGCGGCACCACGTGGCGTCGGCCGCTGCTGCCTCGAAGGCTGCCGCCGCCGCCGCCGCCCCCTCTGCAGCTGCCGCTGCAGTCGCCTGCGACTGCGCGCGACGGACTCCCTGCTGTGTGCCGCCAGCCTCGTCAGCGGGCACCGGCTGCGCGGCCGCTGCTGAGCCCGGCTTGGCGAGAGGCGTGGCCGCTTTTGCCGGGCGCCTTGCAGCCCGCGACCCCTTCCCCGGCTTCTTGAGCTTGGCCGCCGCTGTTGTGCCTGAGTCTGGGGGGTCCATGCAGCCCGTGCCGCCACTGCCGTAATTGCCGCCGCCGCCGCCGCTGCCGCCGATGTTGGTGCCGGCCGTGCCGGCCGCTGCTGAGGGGCCGGCACCGTCGCGGCCCACGGCTGCGTCCGGCTGCTGCGGGCCGGCCTGCTGCTGCTGCTCCGCCGGGGCGCGCTCGCGCGCCTCGCTGAGCAGCTGGGCGCCGCTGACCTTGGTGCCCGGCACCGTGAGCCCGAGGCCGCCGCCGAAGAGCGCCCAGATGACCAGGGCCAGCACATGCTTGACCCGCCACTTTGCGCTGTACTTGTGCAGCCCAGACTCGAATAAGATGGTGCACGCCGTGTCATCCACCTGGCAGAGGGGTTGAGGAGGGGTCGCAGAATTGTAGGACACTTTGAGTATTTGGGGCAAACAGGAGCTTGTTTGGCCGTGAGACAGGCGTGGTAATGCATATTGATTAATTTGGGCCAGGAACCCATCAAAGAAACACACGTTTGCTCTGTGTGGAACAGGTGTCCCACTTCAACACGTTCAAGCCAACCCGAGTCATCCATGTGCTCACCATCGCTGGCAGGCGCAGCACCGCCTGCCCCTCCTCCACCGCCATGCTGTGGGTAAGCGGGTTGTAGTCCTGCAGGGCGAAGCCCTTGCCCGCCTCAGCCAGCGCCTTGAATAAGCTTGGCAGGGTGTCCAGCGCGAGCTGCGATGATGTCACCTGGCGATAACAGGATGCACATTGGGGACGGGGCAGGAACCCCTCAGTCTTGTTGGCCTGCGGCATGCTTTAATGCTGGTCTTGCAAGGCGCCGGCAAGCATCGAGGAAGCGATCATGCCGGTGAGTCCCGTCACGCAATGTTGGTACCTCAACGTCCAATCCATGAGCCTGGATGGCTCCAAAAGCGGGCGACCGCGGGACGCTGCAACAGTCTTATCCTACTGACTGCCAGCAAGCCTCGGCGGACGGGAGGGGTGAGTAGGGGCCAGGATATGTGCACACCAGCAACCTGCCTGTGCCAGGAGCTTCTGGCGCTCTGCCACCGGGGTTGCATCCCATGACCTCAGCATGGCCGCGCACGCAGCTGGTGACGTGAAGTTCATGGTGACCGCCGGCATGGTCTTGTGGCAGCCTGGGCCAGTGCCATCCTTGCTGTCGCTGGTGGGTGCGCTGCCGAGGTCCGATGCACGCACACCAGCAGTCGGGGCCGCCGGCGGAGCAGGCGCGGCCTGGCTGCCTGCACTCGGGGACCCGTGGAGAGGTTTAAGTTGGGTTCAAAAGACAGCGTGACGCGAGGTGCAGCATGGGCAGCCTCCAGAGAAGCCTTGGACGCGAGCAGAGCGAGTCGCGGTCCCCGAAACCGGCCCTCTCACCTCTGCCGCGCGTGATCGCAGGCATATTGGCGATCTGAAGCTTGCAGATGTATGCTATGCCTTGCCGCAGGCCTGATGATGAGATCTTTGCGCGGCAACAGCAGGCAACCCGGGCGCCCGCTGCCTTGTCTATGTAAATGAAGTTGCCCAAGGTATAACACGTTCTTATCAAACCGATCACAATGCCTGAACACCGCTGATAGGGGTTGGCGCTCTGCCAGTCCCGATCTCGAAACCTTCCGCCGGCGTCACGCTTTGTGAAAGCACGCCATGCTCAAGAGGAGTGGTGGAAATTGTAAGGGTACTGCAAATGTATGGAGCAGCACCGGCTGCTAACCCGTGTACGCACTCATTGCTCATGCTGCAAGCTACACTCCCTGTGTAAAGTCTGCTGGCTTGCTTCCACCACGCCAGGCTTTGGCTTCAACAAGCAACCCATTGTATTTCTTTCAACCTGTGCGCGTGGTAAAAGTTTTTGCAATCTTGGCGTTTGGAAAGTGAGTGTGATCCTCACTTCCTATGGTGGCTTCACCCTGAATGCCCTGATGGAATCGCTGCGTGAGATGCAATAAAAATCAAAACTGCAACCAGCAGCATAGGGCCTTGAACCCATGACTGCGCTACAGCTTGCCCGCGCCGCGCTTGTGAAGCGGTGGCAGCAGGCAGCGACCATTTGCCCCCAGACGGGGCCCCCACGCAGGGAGGCCCCCGGTATGCATGTGCCGGTCGCCAGGTCAGCTGTTGTCAGCCGCTCCTTTGGCTGGCCTCCAGTGCCAGGCCCGAAGCCGCGAACACCGGGCCCCTACTCCCTTGCGAGAGACCAAAGTCACAGCGCACACGGCTGGGTCAGTTTGAGGCGTGCCTCTCCCCATGCCAGACACGTGTGCAGCCATGTCCCCCGGGCATCGGGCAGGAGCCGTTCAGCCCCGACCCGCGGACCCGGGATCATCCATCCCCAGACTCAGGCCAGCAGCCTGCATTCCGGTTCGGCTGGCTTTGCTGGGCAAACGCCTGGGCAGAACGCCCGGCTGTGCCATGACCTGATGGTTTGCAGGTGTCTTCTTCGCAAGCAGCAACAACAATTTGCAACGCGCAATCAGCAGGCATGCGAGACGGGAACTGCCACTGCATGCAGCAACTTGCAGCCAGCCATTCGCTTTTAAACAGAGAGGGAGGGCGAGAGTAAGCGCTGGCGGCGGGCCGCGTTCAGGCAGCGGACCGACTTTGCTGATTTGCAGCCAGTGTTGCATGTGTCTGCGCTGCTGGTGCAGCGCAGCATGGCGCGGCGCACATGGGGGGCGCGCACCACGATATCAGGAATGGCAGTGACGATCATGGTACTCGTGCACTGCAGACGTGTCACAACACGTGATAACGCACACAAACGCAGATAGCAGGAGGCTAGTGGTGGGATTGTCTCGCGACGAGCGAAGGGCCTCACCGCGAGCTCGCGAAGATGATGATGACGAAGACATCCTCACGGCCATACTTAGTAGCACGATTGCTCGTGTCGGTTTCTGGGTCAGAATGCTAACGATGCTCGGATCGTACTGGCTATGTTTATGTATCACGTGGCTATATTATAATTCATAATTAATAAACCAAGTTTTTAACGCGATCATCACAATTGAAGGTATTTGACAAGGGAATCAGCAACTGGAAGGGCGGTCGCGAAGGTTGCCCGCTGTTACCGTATTATGGCATGCAGTCCAGTGTAGTCGGACATGAGAGAGCATTCAAGCTGTTTATGCCCGAGAGTTGGCTCAAGCACATGGTGCCATCATGGCTGTCTACGCGCTTGACCCCGCTTTGACTGCCGCATGGACTGCGTGGCTCGGTGCTGCTGTCGCGGCGGCAGCATCGCGCACAGCTGGTGTTGGACCAACCAGTCCTGCATTGCAAGGCAATTGATTGATTGGACGCATCAGGGGCAGCAATACCACCTGCTGGTGCTGGGTCCTAACAGCTTCACACTGTGTCCCGCTCCCCCCCTCCTCCTCCCAAACTCCCACACGCCCGTCAACTGTGCCCCCCCCCCTTCGCTGCTTAAACCACGGCGAGGCCCAAGAATTCACACACTTTTCACACTCACATCCATCTCAAAGGCCGAGCGCACAGCCTACAATCTGGCTCCTTGCAGACTGCCAGTAGTGTCGTCTCTGCCACAGCTGCAACGCAACATACATAAACGCTCGCAGAGATCACGAACGATGTGGCGCAGGCGATCAAACATCTACCTCCTCACTGGTATCCCAGCCTACTGGCCCGTCAAACTCCTGCGAACTTCTGTGCAATCAACACGCCTTGCTTGTGCACAACCGTACGCGTGCACGCACTGTGCGTGCGCTGCCGTTGCCCAGTCCTTCTGCTGAACGGAGCATCTAACACCGAGACAAAGTTGTACCTCGCAACCGTGTGCATACATGGCAGTGCGCGCCCATGTCACCTTTGCAACGTGTGTTGGCATTGCCACTGGGCGGGATCCCGGGATCACGGTCCGGACCATAATGATCCAAGTCGGGTCAACGGTCCCTCGTGTCTTGATTGGTATGCCGAGAGTGACTGTTTTCTGGATTTGTGACTGAATCTGCCGTGGAGTACGCCCTGGGACAGGCAGAAAAGCCGAGGGGTTTATGACCAAGACCATTGCAGCACCGCCATCACTAAACCGGCTTGCACTGCAAGACCATGCGTGCAAGTTGACTGATTGCGCTGCAACACAGCTATGGAACGCAGCCCAACACTTGTCCAGGCACGCATGACATAAACCTGGCCGTAAAAAAGTAATCAAATTGCAGTGTCTTGCAGGTGCAACGGCATGCTCAACCAGGCGCCCGTTGGCTGCGGGAAGGGCGGGGGCGCAGAGTCGAAGCAGGTGCTGGGCCCTGATGTTGCTGGCTGATAGCAGCAGTACAACACTACAGCCCAAACCTCAGCCCTTGCGCTGAGACCTGAATGGCAGGACGCCCTGCCGCGTGGCATCCGGTCTGCTAAAGCTGGCGAGCGGGTGTCACCACCCAGTGCACTCATATCGTCACTGCATCAAGGGCGCTGTTTGCCTGTTGTTGATCCCCTGCCAGGCACGTGTCATCTTGATCGTTTGTAATTCACTTGACAACGCACAGTGCTTCGGTCCTCCGCGGAGCTGGCGGGCAGATCATTTGAAGAAGTCATCAACGCGAGCTGCCGGTCGGATCACGATTCTGTCGGCGTCGCCAGTATCGCTTATATGTAGAAGGCAGTAATGAGAAATGGTTATTAAGGATGATCATAGTGAAACCTGAGACCAAAACCCCAGAACATCAGGATGCTGTGCACAACGACAGCGCCACTGGCGATTTACTTGCATGCTAGGCCAGGTTCACCTCTCCGCAGTTGGTAGCTTGACTGCACCATACTCAAACTCTAGGAAGCTGTCCGCTCTCACCAACTTTGACCTGTGCGCACGTGGAGTACCTGCGTGCACTTCTGCTTGCTTGGTCAAGACCTGACACGAATGTGTCTAGGCAAAAACGCCGCACACACGAAAAGGTGCTGTTTCTTGGTGACACCAATTGTCACCAGACACATCTACCACAACCAGCGTAGGGCCTTGAACCCAGTACTGGTCAACAGCTTGCCCACGCCACGCTGTTGAGGCGACGGCGCGGGCTACGACCATTTGCCCCCAGACAGAGCCCCCGCGCAGGGAGGCCCCCGGGATGCGCCGGTCGCCGGGTCGGCTGTTGCAAGCCGCTCCTGTGGTTAGTAAGGTCGAAGTGCCAAGTGCCAGGCCCGAAGCCGCGAACACCGAGCACCAAGCCCTTCAGGGAGACCACATTCAAAGCGCAAACGGACACATGGTTCAAGGCGTGCCTCTCCCCACACCATACGGCGAGCAGCCATGTCCCCCGGGCAGCAGGCAGGGGCGGTTCAGCCCCGAACTGTGGACCCGGGATCATCCATCCCCAGACTCAGGCCAGCAGCCCGCATCTAGTTTGGCTTGCTTAGCAAGGCAAACGCCTGAGCAGAACGCCCGGCAGTGCCATGACCCGTTGGTTTGCAATTGCCTTCTTCGCAAGCAGTGGCGATGATTTGCATTATGCAGTGAGCAGGCATGCGGGATGGGCACTGGCACTGCATGCAGCAGCTTGCAGTCGACGCCTTGCTTTCAAGGTGAGGTGAGGGGCGAGAGTCAGCGCCGGCGGCGGGGCGCGTGCATACCTCATCTGCAGCGCACGTGCATATCTCATCCGCACCCGGTGCAGCAGCCGCTGCTGCTGCAGCGCAGCGCACCGCACATGGGGCGTGCGCACTGAGTTTTCAGCGACGGCAGTGATGTTCGTTATGCCCGTGCTCTGCAGGCGTATCACACATTCAAAACCGCATGTAACCGCAAAAGCGAATCGTGGGATATGAGTCCGCGACGAGCGAAGGGCCTCACCGCTGCGAGCTCGCAAAATGGCGACATACCACAGAGCCTCATCAACATGCTTTCAGTGGTAGCAGGCTTGCTTGTGTTTGGGTCCTGCTCATGATGCTTGAAGCCAGGTCGTGCTTGCACTGTTGATGCACGGTATGTGGCTAAACGGTAATTAAAATTATCGAATGAATGATCATTGACCGATTCTGTTGAAGGCGTCTGGACTTGCTGGCAACTGGAAGGGCGGTCGCGAAGGCCGCCTGCCGTTACTGTATCGTACGACAGGCGTGCAGGCCAGTTTGTCCAGCCAGATGACAGATCAATTGACGGATGCATGCCTAACCCCTGGCTCAAGCGCATGGTGCCATCACAGCTGAGGGCACGACCCCGCTTTGACTGCTTCGTTGGCCGCGCTGCTGTTGCGATAGAAGCATCGCGCACAGCTGCTGTGGGCCAATCATTCTTGCATGATCAGACAATTTAATGCTTTACGGATTAGGTGCAGCAACATCACCTGCTGGCGCTGGGTCCTGCGCTGGAGCGGCTTCACACTGTCTGCACCCCCCCTCTCGCTGGCCCCGCGGCCGCTTCATCTCTCCCCCCCCCCATCCCTTGCCGTTTGCACAAGCGGCCAGATATGATGATTCTGCCAGACTTGCAATGTACAGGTTGCGATGTGATGGGATGCAATCTTGGCTCGTTGAGTAGAATGGTCCCTGCCACAGCCCTGACAAAACGTTCGTATCATCTTGTAGATTACAAGCGCCCACCTCGGGGTTTGTGCTAGATGCAGGGTTTTGGTACTCAGAAGGCTGGTGGCAGACTTTGATGCGCCTGCCGGCGACGCACACGCGAATAAACACAGCGCCATTGAGAATCTGCCATGGGGCACATGCACTGGGGGGGCTGCTGCCCTGAGTATGAGCGTTGGGCTACTTCTCCTCCATCCTGGGAGGTGAGCAATGTTTGGCTGCAGGGGCTCCTTTAGGCACAGATTCTGAGCTTTCAACCGAGACGAGAACTGAGCCAAGCAATTACATGGTTTCAAATGTCAAGATCAGCGAGTCATGTCATTCACAAAGCGTTGCTGGGCGGCGTAAGTGAATAGTGGAGCAAGAGGGGCGCGAGGGGAGCCAAGCAGAAATGCAACCGCTGCATCACAGCTGGCTGCCGGTGTCCCCAGTGGGCAGCTGCGGCGTCCCCGCGCCCGCCCCCATCGCCGCGGCGGCCTGCATCGCCGCCGCCTGCGCCGCCCATTGCTGCTGCATCTGCTGGGCCGCCATGAACGCCATCGGGTCCACCTGCTGCTGCTGCATCGGGACGGGCACCGCCATGCCTGAAGGGTAGGGCGCGTAGTACATGGAGGGCTGCGCCGCAGCCGCGGCCGCCGCCGCCGCCTGCGCGTGCGCCTGCGCTGCGGCCGCGTCAGGCGACACCGGCGTCGCGCCGCCGCCGCTCGCAACGCCGCCGGCGTGCCCACTGCCGCCCGCGCCGTCTGCGCCGCCGCCCTGGGGCTCGTCCCCCTCCTTCGGTATGATGTCTTGCTGCAGGGCCAGAAGGTGGTGTGCAGGAGAGCCAGCGTTCAAGTGTGCGCCACTTTAACTTGGCTGGGCCGCCGGTACAGGTGAGGTGTCAACCTCAGGCGCATTCCAATTGACCAGGGCTTCAGGACAGCCCATGCTGATAAACCGCATTGCCGCAGCGCGCCTCGCCTCGCACGTGCATCCCCTCAGCATGCGTGACAAAGGTGCACGAACGACCACACTCCTCCGCACTGACACCCTTCTCTGCACCAACATCCAACACGTGGTCGCCCCTCAAATCCCCCAACCCCACCCACCAGAAAGTCCAGGACGTAAGTGGAGTTGACCACCGCAGAAATGTCAGACCGCTGCAGCGTGCGCCGCTTGCTGCGCTCGGCGTGCAGCCACGCCTGTCGTGGGCGGCAAGGTTGGGTGCCGCGCCGTGTACGAGTCAGGACAAAAATATTCATCAGCAAGCTGCGCGTACACACCCACCCCAGCCCATTTGACGCTCAAGCTGAGCCAAAGCAGGAGGTGCAGCAGCAGCCAGCAGGTGCCCCCAGGCCTTGCCTTGAGTGTGAGCTCGAGTATGAAGAGCTCGCAGGCCTTCGCAAACAGCACGGGGGCCTCCGCGCTGATCATGCGCACGTCCTCGTCAGACTTCATGATCTGAGTGGATTTGGGGGAGGAGGTTTCAAAGGTCCGAGGCCGGGGGCCGGGTGGGGAGTTGGGCAGGGGCCGGTCAGCATCAAGGCAGCAATGTCTCCAAGCTTGGGACGCCCACCCCAGTGGAGCGCGGCGTCAATCCGCCAGACGCCACTCTATGGGCTTTGCGCTTGACCTGGCCAACGGTTGCCGCTCTGGCCGCATGCTAGCCTGGTGGGGCAGCGCCGCGGGCTGCGTCTCCCTGCATACCCTCGCAGGCAGGCGCGCTCGCGCCAGGGCGAGGGGCTTTGAGGGGCCCGACGGGCTCTTGCACGTCGGCATGAGCCCCTTCCTGGGGGGCACGGCGAGAAGCCCCACACCTTTTTGATGCGTGCCAACGGCAGCTGGTGGTTCTTGAACTCTGCCGGGTCGTTCCCCACCTGCTCCACCTCGCCCTGCATGCTGCGCCAGAACGCGCGCACCTGCGCAGCGCCGGCGATGGGTGGCCGCCAGAGAAAACGCGCGGCGCGTGTCGGCACTTGGCTGTTTGAGCGCCGTGCATTGCCTGGCGGTCCAGCCGCGTTCAGCCAAGGCAATGCTTGTCGCTCGAGGCGGCGCAATCGTTTGCAGTCGCCCCGGCAGCACCCTCAGCTTGACGAGCGCGGGCGAGCCGTGCACGCGCCCCATCCTGCAGTCTGCCAGAGTCAGCACACCTGCTCCTCCTCGTTGCCAGCGCTGGGCGCGTCGGAGGGGTCATCGCTGCCTGCGTCGTAGCGCTGCATCGCTGGTATGGCTGCTGTTGTTGCTGTTGTTGCTGCTGGTGCTGCTGGTGCTGCTGTTCTGCTGCTCCGGCTGCTGCCCTGCTGCTGCTACTGAATGGCAGCAGCCACTCGTACTGATGGGTGCTGTTGCTAATGGTACTGCGGCAGCTGCCGCCTCCGCCGCCAGTGCGCCGCTGGTGCTGCGCTGTCACTTTGCACGTCCCCCGACCGCGTTGCCTTGCTGACGCGGCTGCGTGGCCGCTCTTGACTGCCTGTTCTGCAGCCCCTCACAACTCGCTAGCTGCCGTGCGCGGGCCTGAGCCGATGGCCTCCTGCAATTGAGGCAAACACAGGTGAGCCCACGCTGGCTGACGACGCTCAGCGTGGTGTGTGTTGGCGCACCGTCGCACACCCACAGGCACGCACGAGCTCTCTGCTCCGCTTCTAGCTTGCAAGCAAACGCACATACCACTGCTGTCGAGCTGTGCGAAGCAACAGCGCACCAGGCGAGCAGTGGCACGCTCGGCAGATCTTGACAGGCTTATATTACGAGCTGAGAGTGCAAGATGGACATGTATACAAACCTTCATCGGCCTTGATTAGGCTGGACGCCTGGGGCGGGGCCAAGGCAGGTCGGCACTCCACGCGGGATTGAGGGGGCGCAGGGTGAGTCTTTGTGTCCTCCTCGATACTCTCGATAACTCTCTAGACAATAGTGTGCAATCGCAAGAAGCTCAACTGGACTGCTTTGTCTCCTGCACTCGTCTACACACCAGCAAAGGGGACACAGCAGAGCACGCCACCAGCAATGCTGGCCAGCAGCAGCAGCTCCCTGGTAAGCGGTATGGCGGATGGATGCGCGTATAGTCATTACTGCAATCCAATGCGGGCTCATTGGTTGCCTGTGCTCGCAGCGGGGAGCTTTCAGGCAGCAGCAGCCTTTCAAGGCGAGCCGGGCGTCCACAGTCCGCGTGGAGGCGAACAAGCGGGTGCAGAAGAAGGCCAAGGTGCGCCAATGAAGGCGCCCTGCACTTGAGGCGGAGCGCGTGCGGGTGGCTGGTGTTGCTCAGTTGCGTGGCGCAGCGCGAGCGGCCGCCGTGCAGCCTCAGCCGGGGCCTGGCCAGGCAGTTACCACTGAAAGCGCTCACGGTCCACAGCGGCATCAATGACTGATTGTTCCTGCCTCGTCTTGCGCGGCAACAATGGCCTGGGGCGCACGCTATAGCTGCCAGTGCAGTGGCTTTGAGGACCCCCGAGCCCCTCATCCAGGCTGGGAGCACCAAGCTGTGCACTCCTGGCACACCGAACGCGGGCACCAACACGATGCCATGACGCATACCCTCCCCATGCGGCGCGCGTGGCCGCAGGTTATCCTGACCAAGGACCTTGAGAATGTGGGCAAGGAGGGCGAGCTGTTGACCGTGCCAATCGGCTACCTGCGCAACTACCTGCTGCCCAACGGCATCGCGCGCGTCGCCAGCGACGGCATCCTCGAGTGAGCTCGCGGAGGGTGGTGTTTGTTTGTGACACCTAGGGCCGACTGTCCACGATTGGGATGCCTGGTTTGGTGCTCGCGGTGGCAGCAGCGGCGGGATTGGCCAACTGAACGAAGCAGTGAAGCTGCTTCGTGGGATGACCCTCACTCCACTCTTGCGTTGGTCGCCGCGGCTGCTCATCATTCTCGCCATGTTGTTTGCGGCTGACAGGAAGCTGCGCAAGAAGAAGGAGGACGCCGTCCGCGCCAAGCTGGAGGTGGGTCTGGGCGGGGTTGAGCGCTATGAGCTAGTGTAGTCGCAACAGGGAGCCGAGCAGCGGACCGCAGCCGGCAGCAGCATGATTCAATTATCCATTGCAGGCTTGTATGGCAGGGAATGGCAGTACCGCGATTGCTGGTGGCGGCTTGGGCGTGACACGCCCGCGGGGCCGTCCGCTTGTGCTGACGCCGCGGTCGCTTCCGTCCCGCTCGGCGGCTTCACAGGAGAAGGCCCAGGCGCAGGCCTTTGCCAACGCCCTGGGGACCATCGGCAAGTTCATCTTGAAGAAGAAGACCGGCGACAAGGACCAGCTGTTTGCTGTGTGAGTCCCTCGCAGACGTGTACGGCGCGCATGCAGCCTGCACTGCGTGGCGCAGGGTCGAGGAGGGGACGCAGGTGTCAGCCACCCTACAGGCGTGCACACTCGCTTTTAGCAGGCCTCCAGGCTGTCTCTTGCCGCAGCCACTCGCGTGCAAGAGCCTCCTTCCCTGTTTTCCGCCCTCTGCCGGCTGCTCCTGAGCCCTTGCCGCCCGGCGGCTTGCCCCTGCCCGCCACCCCACGCCGCCCCTGCAGCGTCCAGAAGCAGGAGGTCATCGACGCGGTCTACCAGCAAACCAGCCGCTTGATTGACGAGAAGGACCTGACCCTGCCCGACATCAAGGCGGTCGGCACCTTTGAGGCGCAGGTGCGCCTGCACCCCGAGGTGGTGGGCACCTTCAGCGTGGTCATCCAGAAGGAGAAGGTGCAGCAGGGCAAGAAGAAGTGATCTCTTCGCGGGGCCTGCAGGATGTTTCAATGCGGTGTTGTAACAGCGCTGCTGCCTGTCTTCTGACGGTCGGTGTCTTGGAGGTTCACCTGACGCTTCTTGGTCGTGGGCACAAATATCAGGCAGGCGGCCTCTCAGCACCGGCCAGGGTGGCAGGAAGAAGACACACACTCTAGGTATCAGCACAGCATACAGCTTTGCTTGTGTTGAGTCGGTATTGCTCTGCCGTTGAGAACCTGCAAAATGCTGCTGTAGCCCAAGCCGGGCCCTTCATTTTCGGTCGGCGGCCGAGTTTGGATGTTACGGCAGGCGCCGGGGGGTTGGAGGGGGTTGGAGGGGCTGGTAGGGGGCTTATATGATTTCGTGTGGCATGTTGGCGGGATGGAGGGGGTGGGCATGGTAGATTAGGCTGCCTTTGTGCTGCCTGGCGGCGGGTCACCTGCCGGAGCTGTAATTTTTCTGGGTGACTATCATCACAGGTTCCGCCAGGGTTCGGTGGTCATTGAATCACCCATTATATTTGCCTGTCTGTGAGCATCGATCGTGATTTGGTGCTCGCGATGTCTCCTGGCGCTCGTCTCGCTTTTCGGGCGCAGCTTTGACGGTGCGGAAAGTGGATGACCGCGATGATGCAGCAGTTTTGTTGCTTGTGTGATAGTGCTTATTTATCACCCATGACCTCCCGCTGTTCCTTCCTCGTGTGCATGAGTGCAGGCTGCGCCTGGCCAGACCATGGCTTATTCGATGGGGGGCCTGCCCGGCTTCTTGGGCGTGCCCCCGGCGTCTTCGATGTCCTTGAGATCTCTGGAGACTTCGTCCCGCAGCTCGGGCGGGTCGGCCGCGCGTGGCGGTGACGGGTCACCGCCGGTGCCTGCGCCGCCGTTGCGATGGGACGTCGCGCGTGCTCAGGGCCGCGACGCGACCCTGGGCCACCGCCTGAGTGCGGCGTCTGATGACGCGTCGTACACGGCGTCGCCGCCTGCTCGCCGTGCGGCTGGTTTGAGCGCCGCTGCTCGAGCGACGCCTGCGGCGGCAGCTCTGTTGGGTGACCGTGGCCGCGGCGCTGCTGCCGCGCTCTCGGAGGCCCTGCAATCAGCCCGCGCGGGTGTCGGCGCCGCTTCCGCAGCGGCGCTGCCTGCGGTCAGAAGCAGCGCGCCTGGGTCTGGCGACGTCATGGCGATGTTACAGGGGTTGGTTGACCGGCGCACAGCCCTGTGCAACGCGATTGTAGATGGGCGTGCTGGGGCTCGCAGCAGCGCCGTTTTGGCGGCGTCCTCCGCGGCCTCTGCGGCCGCTGGTGCCGCCCTGGCTGCTGCTGAAGCGGCGGCGGCGGTCGTTCAGGCTGCAGGCTTGGCCGAGCTCCTGGAGGATGCGGCCGAGGATGCCAGCGGATTCGGTGGCGAAGCGCAGATGACAGACCTTGACAGCCTGCTTGAGGCGCACCCTGCCTTGGCTACGCTGGTGGATGCGCAGGAGGGCATGGAGCACGTGCTGCGTGCTGCGGCGCCGCTGCCGGCTGCCGTTGGCGGGGTGCACGGTGGCGCCGGGGCCTTCTCGGCCTGCGCGCTGCTGCAGTCGCACAACGAGCTGCTGCTTGGGCGGGATGATGCCCGCCTCGTGCTCCAGCAGCTGCTGCAGTCGGCGGCGCCTATGCGCGAGCGGGCGCTTCGGGAGGCGGCGCGCGCTGGGCCAGCGCCGCGGCCGCGCCCGGGTTCATTGCTTCGCAGTCTTGCCGAGGCTGATGTCGACCAGACGGTCGTGGACGCGCAGCTTGTGGGTGTGCAGCGCGCCACCATAAGCCCGGCGGAACTCAAGGCGGCGCAGGTGTCTGACAGGTGCGCACCTGTGTATCACGGGGCTTCTCTGTCTTGGTATTGAATGGTGTCGGGCGGGGCTGGGTTCTGTGCAAGGGCGCTTACGTGCTTGGGCCTTATTGTTGTTGCGCGTGCCCAACACCCTTTCGCAGGATGCTTCGTGCCTACCAAGGTAGTGCTGACCGCGCCCAGCTGGTGCGGCCGCAGCGCTACTCGTGGGACTGGGACGCTAGGGGCATGGCGGAGCAGCTGTTCTACCACATCCTGATCGTGT